TTTTAAAAGAATTGACCAAACATTCGTCACTTCAAGTCTTTATATAATAATTTTCATATGCCTTATCCTCAAAAGTCAGTCTAAATGCACTAGTACATAATAGTAATTTCAATACAATACATATAAATACCAAAATTTGTACAAATAAAAACCATAATGTTCGTGACATCAAAAAAGTTGAACGAAACCATCCCTCTCACATTTCATGTTACATATTCATGTGATCGTACTGGTATATATGTATACTCAAACGCAAATTAGGACAGGCGTGTGGAAATCTTTAAACACCCACTTATTTTCGAAATAAATTAATATTTTATTATGGATTTTCCTTACAACGTCCTTTTTTTTATAATATTTGTCTCTGTATATTGTTTTGTTATTTGTCAGAGGATTCCTAACCCAAGATGTATGCAAACTAGTACATTAGTTGGTACTAGGCTTTATTTCTTTGGTGGAGCATTTACGCCTTATTCTATATCTAATTCTATATCTAATGAAGTTTGGTATCTTAACCTATCAAATTCATTTAACATAACTACACCACCATGGCGCGAAAGTGCTAAAATGTCAGCAGGATTTATTCGTGGTAGTTCATGTCTTAGTCCTATTAATCCTTACACTGTTTATTTAGTTGGTGGAAGGACATTTACTCCAAATACCGCAAATTACGTTTATAGATTTCCAGTATCTGAATTTGATATTAGGGTTAAACTATGGGGAATACCATTGATTGATAATTTTAATTCTAGTTTTGCAACACGTAATGAAATGCAAGCTGTTAGTGATAATATCGGAAAGATTTTTATTTTTGGAGGACTTAATTATAACAGTACGACATTTACTTCGTATAATGATATGAATATACTTGATAAAACTACTATGACTTGGTCAACTCAAATTCAACCCCAGTCCCTTCCTTATGTTGACTATACTGCTACATTATTACCAAATGGTCTTATTATTTACATTGGTGGGAGAGACGGTTTAGTTATAACAAATGAAACCTTGACTAATATGAATCAGGTATGATCTGGTTAATAATAATTTTCTTTAATGCTTAAAACTTTTCCGTTACTTAATACTACTTAAAACCACTTAAAACCAAATGTAGATTCGAATATATGATACAAACTTCTACACCTGGTTTACTAAAGTATTGTATATAATTAATTATTATTCTTGTTAATTTTTAAACTTAATTTTTTTTTGTTATTAGACTGCTAGTGGGTCTGTTTCATCTCGTATTGGACATTCTACTGTTTTAAGTAAGCTAATCGTAATACATGTAGTATCAATACGAACTATAGATTTATATTCTGTTTTACTAAACATTATTTATTTCTTTACAGCCCAGGACGGAAATATTATTCTATATGGTGGCGGAACGGAAAATAGTACTGGCTTTCCAACTAGTATATTTTCAGATATCGCAGTATTAAATACAAATACATGGATGTGGTCTATTCCAAACGTTTCGGGAATAAATGCTCCTCCACCAACTATGTATCATTCTGCTGCATTATATCAAAATTATATGATTATTGCATTTGGTAATTACTTTATTGATTTATAGTACTGTAGTAGTTATTAAATTTGTTAAATTTATTTAACCTTAACATATTCAGGTCAGATTACAATAAATGAATACACTAATCAGGTTTATGTTTTTGACATAAGAAATTATACCTGGGTTACTTCAGCAAATCTAGATATATTTCCAACAACAACTATTCAACAAAATAATGATAATAATAATAATAATAATTTATATATTGGAATTGGAGTTGGTGTTGGTGGGATTATTCTAGTTGGATTATTGATTACTGCTGGATTTTTATTTTATAAAAAACGAATTCAAGAACATAATATAACATTGGGAACGCCAATGAATGAAAGTAATCGTGAATCACATTTACCTATAGCTTATAGATTCTTGGTACTTAAATGTATATTGTTTTGAACATATTATGTTATCAGAAATTTAAATCTACAATGCAAAAAATCTGACAATTTCAAGATATGCAATTATTTGTCAATAACTATATATTACTTAGTACATCGATACCTTTAAGACGATAATTTTAGTTATGGATTTTTAAAATATTCATTACGGACATCTTACATTTTTGCGATAGCAATAAAATATTAATAATATAGGTCGCTAAGGTGAAATATTCATAGTAAATCGCAAATTTAGTGCCTTAATACACGTACGTACTGTACGTACGTAGGTTTTCTGTGCCAGGGTTTGTCGATCATGTGGCGCAAGCAAAGTCTTTTAAAGTTTATTAATGTTAGGGTTAGCGTTTAGAAGAAGGTGCTTATATAGTAAAATCGCTCAATGAATTTTTGTGTTAAAACACAGAAGGTGGTTTTTTTATGCAGGTTTTTGAGAAATAGGCGATTTTTAACGAAACGAAAGGCTGTTTTGAAATTTCCTGATCCGCGCCGCAATGATCGACAAACCTGGTACAGAAAACCGATGTGCTTTCTAAATAGCACTATTAACGAGATATTAATGAGGTTTTTTGACAAAGATATTCTATTTGCGCACCGGATGTATATACACGTTCAATATAGATTCCTCAAAATTTTTGATTATGAAACCACCTTTTGGCTTCTAACAAAAACAATTCCTTGTAAAATTTTGGTATAAGCTGTATCTTGCACAATCCAAACACGCCCTTACAATAATCATAAGCGAGGTTTAAATTTCCGCTTGTAAAAATTTTTATTGCATGTTATACGAATTTGTAATACAATAAATTAAACACGTGTATAAACATTACGTGAAAACTAATAAATTTTCTTTGACAAATATGAAAATGTGTAGTTTTTTCAAACAACCTCGTTAATACCTTGTAATAATGCGGCACAGATTTATGGCTCAACACTTGTGCCAATTGGACCGTTCATGGCTCAGGTTTTGTGACATTTTGCTAGTCCAAATATCACAGATTTTAGTACAAATTGGTGATGTAATGGTTTGAGTGTTGGTGGTCCTGATTTGTTGAATTAGTATAGATTTTTTTGTTTTTGGTGGGCCATATATTAGTGGCAATTGGATTATTAATGATTTGGGTTTGTATGTTTTACTAATCCAATTGTTGTAGGTTTTGATATATGCAATTATATATAATTTTCATATCATTATAATAATAAATATTAAAATATAAATTTGCATAATGATAAATATATAAAAAAATATTTGATTATAGGCATTATTTAAAAAATTATTTTTTTTATATTTTAAAAATACACAAACTAACAAATATAAAAATATTATAAAATATTTAGTAAATACTAAAATACTATACAAATACTATTAAACATTGCAAAATATAATTAAAAATGTTATCAAAAATTTTATTAAAATATTATTAAAAATTTTATTAAAATATTATCAGAAATTTTATAAAATTATTTTATAAAGGTAGATATGCCTAATTCGGCGCGGTGCCTAATTCAGCGCATTTAAGATATCTCGGGATCTACCGATTGGATTCATGTGATTTCGATACCATTCGATTCGTCTCAATGAGACGATTCGAATGGTACCAAAATCACATGAATCCAATCGATAGATCCCGAGAAATTGTCATATTAGATAAATTCTCTTTATTTAAAATTTTAACAAGAGAAGGCAACGTGATAAAAGACAATTTTTCTTTGTTAATAAATCGATACTTTGCATTGAGTAAAATTATTGCATTGGTAAGCTCAATATATTTACTAATTTTAACAACCTTATTATTATAATCGCGCAGTATTTCTCATTATTAACACATTTAAGTGTCCCCTGCAGCTCCGATCTGGGTCACTTTTGCAAAATGATTTTTAGTTGCGGTCATGCATTTTATTTTTACCAACTTTTTGTATAAGAACTATTTAGCAAAATAAAAATCGCGTAATTTACACAATATTTAGACTAGTTAATTAAATATCTTTAAAAATTTATTGTAATATCACTTGTAATAAGTTGTAAACTGCTATATACAATTATAATAAAGATTTTTTACCACTACGCGGTGAAGAGCAACAATAATAGTTTATTTTCAAATTTTTTAAGTAAACCATGACAAAGTATAATGACCATAAAGCCCGACACGATGCCATTACTAATGCCCTTAAGGCAATTAAAGATTCATCAAATAATTCTAAAACCCCAAGTGTCAAAAGTATTGCACGTGATTATGGTATAGCAGAAACCACTTTTAGACAAGCTATTGAAAATGATGACCCTCTTCCTCCCCCGGGTCATACTAAAGTTCTAACAAGCCATGAAGAAGAACAGATTGTTGGGTACTGTCTTAACATTAGGGATGGTAAAAAAACGGTTTAAACAGTTTTTTAACATTTTTTATTGTTTTAAAACTTTTTTTAAAACATCGGCGTCTGATCCTAAAAATTGGCTGAAATTAAAATTATCGTCTCTGGTTGGCTAATTTTAGT